CGCGGCGGCGGCGGATCCGGCGCGCGGCGGCCAAGGTGCGTGCAGCGGGTCCCCCGGCCAGCTTCGCGCCGTCAACAAAGCGCGGCCGGGGAGAGGGTCGGGGCCGGCTCCTCGGGGACCCCCGTCCCTGTATTTGCCTGGACTCCCCGCCCGTAGGACTACCCTCCCGGGGCCTAGAGCCCCGCGCCCCGCTCCTCAGGGGTGGGCCCACAGCTGGGCCCGGCCCGCAGCAAACTCCGCGGGGGACGCTCATTTCTGGCTTTCGGGTGAAAGGCGGGTGAGGGTTGTGTGGCACGCGCTCCGCCGCGGAGGCCAGCTGCGTGCCCGCCTGACAATGCGTTTCTGGGGACCCCTGCGCGCGGGGCACAGTGAGTGCTGCGAGGGGGACGGGCCGGTGCGCGCACTGCTAGTGTCGCGCGTGAGCGGGCCCTCTGTGAGCTGGGTCTGCGTGGATTTCTCTTGTTGGCCGCGTGTGCGGCCAAGTGTGTTTGAATGGAGGGTGTACTCTGGGCGTGTGAGCCTGGTCTCGCTGTGCCACCCAGCGGCCCGCCATCCGAGGAGCCCAGCGCATCCAACCCTGCCTCTGGGTCGAGGGTGTCCGAAGTACCCGGCGTCGCCCCCTTTCCTTCACCCCAGAAGATTCCAGGCTGCCTGGTGGGGAGCTGAGCTCGTGTTGGCGGACCCAGCTCTCGACTCCCCAACCCATCCCCCAGGGCCCGTCAAGGAGTGCGAAAAGGACCAGTTCCGGTGTCGGAACGAGCGCTGCATCCCCTTGGTGTGGAGATGCGACGAAGACGACGACTGCTCGGACAACAGCGACGAGGACGACTGTCGTGAGTGGCCAGCGGGGCGCTCAGGCCTGGGTCGGTTGTTTAGTGTGTGGGGGGGTTCCGGCTATGTGCGCGCTTGGCCCAAGCTACGCGGGCCACCTGCTCCAGCCTGGCCGCCGCCTTCAGGGTGAGGTGGCTTTCGGTTAACAGGCGGCCCCGCGGCCAGCGCCTCCCGGTAGCGCCCGGGGCGGAGCCCAAGGCGGTGTGCCGGGGAATGTGCCAGGTGGGGCGGGGACGCGGCAGTCCCCGAACTCCTCTAGATTCCAGCCATTCGGCGGCCCTCCGCGGCAACCCACTGAGGCCCACGGCGTGCATGCCCGTGTCCCAAACTTCCACCCAGCTGCAGCCAGCACCACACTCCTATTCCGGCTTTTTTCCTCTTTTTTTGTGAATGAATGGGCTCCTCGGGGCCCCTGATTGGCTGGGCAAGGACCACCCCATAGGCCTCCGTGGTTCGAGCTGCCAATCATGGGACGGACCGGTGTGTAGCATCCGGTGCCCTGAGCGCCCTGAGGCCCTGAGCACCCTGAGCCCCCAGTGGTTGCAGGGGCCTGGGTCTGGCCCTAGCCCAGCCACACCGATACTCCATATCCGCTCCCCCACCCCACCCCCAGGTGCTGGCAGAGCGCCAGCTCGCGCTGCTTTTTTTTGTCGAGTCACCCTGAAAACCTTTCTTAGCCTGCCAGCCCAGCCTGGACATGAGTCACGGGGCCACCAGGAAGAAGGGGAGCAGGAGGAAGAATTTGTTTCCTGGAAGGGGCCTCGTGAAGCCTGGCTTCCTGTGGCAAACAAGGTGTTTGCATACTCAGGCATAACTGATTTTCAGGTTCCTTTTTGGGGTGATAGGGGTTTTGGGTGTCTGTGCCACGGGAAGCCCTTTAGCAGGCAGTTTGCTGCGGGGGAAGGATTGTAGTTCTAGGAATAGAGGAACAGCTCTTGGAGAGTTGCAGGCCTCACCCTAGAGAATGTGCAGCCCTGGCCTGGGAGCACTGGTTTGAGGAAGGAAGCAGCAGGTGGGCACCATGTGCATGCACCCTCAGCTCCAGGCGGTGCACAGAAGGGAAGGGGAGGTTAGCATGCTGTCCTTTCGGCCCTTGAGTTTTTTTAAAACTGCCAGTCAGCCTCGCTGGTTCACTTTCAGACATAACTCCGTGTGGACAGTGTGACGAGTCTGCCTTTCCCACCGGCATCAGTTTCCCCACCTGATCACTTGGGCTAATAATCCCTGCCTGGGAAAGCTCACTGGACGGTTTTGAGGACTAATTCTAGAAATGTCATTGGAAGTAATGAGACTCGTATATGCTGCCACTAACTGTGCCCAGCAGTGTGGTGAGTGCATTTTATATAAACTCCTTTCATTTTGGCAATAGTGCTTTGTACAGAGCAAAGACCAAGGCACTGAGGGTTAAGCTGTTTGCTCAATGACTACTGAGTTGCTAAGTAAGAGCCTTAATTTAAGCCCTTGTCACCAGGAAGTGTTCTTAGCCTAATTGTGACCCAAATCATCTCCCAGTGCCTCTGATATTATAACTGTGGTTGTGGCCAGGTAAAATACCAGGGTGAGTCTCAGGCCTAGGAGCTGTTCCTCTGGTCCCCGCAGCAGGAAAGTGCTGGCGAGCAGGAATAGAAACTGTGCTTCTGGGCTGGTTACACTTTTCCTCCTTGGCTCTTTATAATAAAGGGTGGTTGTAAATTCAGAGCAGAAGCTTTTCCTGTCATCCTGCTTTATAGATAAGGACACTGGCTCAGAGAGGTTGACTGATTTGCCCAAGGTCACAGAGCTGAGAATAGAATTGGTCAGGATCTACGCCTGCCTGCTTGCTCAGGAGCACTGCCTGCTTCTCCGGCAGTGAGTGCTATGGAAGGAGCATGGAGCTGGAAGGTTGAACTGTAAATGTTAGGCTTGTCGTTTCTCATCGTTATAAGGCCGTGGGCAGGACAGAGGAGTGAAGTAGTCTATGGCTGGGTGCCCCCAGGTGGGGCCAGGACAGTGGTGGTAGCTCGTCTGAGCTCCTGCTTTGGTTCTGAGAGGGTTGGGATGAGTTACAGACAGAGTTAGTGGACAAAAGGGCAGAAGCCAATAATGCCAGGGCTTGGGGAGAAAGGGTCTTGGCGTTGCCTGTAGTGTCATTTGCACCAGGCCTGACTTTGCTGAGTGTGCGTTTTTCTCTGCCAGAAAGAGCATCTGCCCTCTGTGCTCCATCCTGGTTCTTGTGAAGGACATCTTCTCACCAGCTGTTGAAGACAAGGAGTGGACCAGTGTCCCTACCTTGAGGGGTGTAGAAGTAGCCTTGAAAGCAGCCACAAAAGGCAGTTAGATAAACAGCGTGAGTCTTTGGGTGGATGTGTTAGGGTCACCTGCCCAGACTGAGGTCACTGTCTCCCCCAGAAACCCCCCCCCCACCGCCATGCACCTGACCCCCTTCCTCAGTGCCTTCCCCTGCAAGGGGCCCTGAGCTGCTGCTTCTGCACCTCTTTGGGCTGCAGAATAGGGGCTGGAATTATAAATAATATCTGTGTGAGGCAAAATGAGTTCCAGCTCCCAAAGGAGCCAGAATAAAGCTCTTGAATACCAAGAGGCTGACGGAGGCTGGCAGGAGGGAGTTTTTGTGTTGAGGAGGCCAAGAAAGCCTTCCTGGAGGGAAGAGAGCTGAGCTGAGTCTTGACAGATGGAAGCTGATGTCATTACCTCAGCACTTACCGTCTGAATGTCGGTGGGGTGGACCCCATGTCACACAGGACGCTGAGGCTTGGGGTGACTTAGTCCCCCAGAGTCATGTGGCTCCTCTAGATCGAAGCTGGAACTCAAGCTGAGGCCTTCTCAGTCTTGATGCTTATCCATAGTGAATGGAACTTGGCTCTTTGGACACACAGATGGAGCTGGTAGGATGGGGAAGGGAAAAGCTTTTGGGGCTTCGGTTCCCAGCTTAGAGGACCTTCAAAGCGGAGGAAGGCGCAGGACGCCCGGGCCGGGCCAGCCGGGGGAAGTCTGGTGGGATTCCTGGCTGTGGGCCACTGGTCCGTAGGCCTTGGTTTCCTGTTGTTCCCTGGTATCTTGGGGTAGAGGTGGGGATTCTGGTCTCTAGCCAGGCCTTTATTCCCACAGTGGCAACCGAAACACTGATCATCACTTACTGAGCACTTGCTATGGACCAGGCGTGCACTGAGATCTCATGCATGGCCCTCTGGGCTCCTCTAGTTGGTAACGTGGGATGACTATGAAGTGCCTGGATTGTCCCCAGTTTGTAAAGGCACAGAGTAGGGAAGTTTTTGGCCCAACGTATGTGAATTTTGAGTGAAATGGGAAGGTGTGCCACTATGGAACCTGGGCTGTCTGGAGTACTAGCTGGTGACCCAGGTCTCCCCTTCTCCAGACCTCTGTGTCTCATCTTGAGATGACATCGTAAGGCTGTGCCCCTGCACGTCACCCAGCTCTGGGGAGAAAGGCTAGGTAGAGAGGTGGGCTAGGTTTGTGCTCATTCAATTCCACCTTGTTCAGACCACTTGTGGCTCCCTTGTGTCCCTGGCCCCATTACCTCTCCGTCCTGTATTTAGTTCTGTGGCCATAGCCAGGACTTCTGAGGCCAAGTCCATTAGCTGGGCAGGACCAGGCACCAGCTGCCTCAGTGCTGGAGCCTGCATCGACCCAGGCCCAGCTTCGTCTCCTTTTTTGAGCAGACTCACCTAACAGGCAGTGTTGCTCTTCTCTGAGCCTCAGTCTCCTCATCTGACAGGGCAGCTCTACCATTTCAAGTGCTGCTGGGGCTCCCAAGTACCCCAAGGATCAAATCAGCCTAGGCGCCTCTGCATTTGGCCTCCCTGCCCAGTCCTGTGTCCACCCCGTCCAGCCTCTTCCCGTGCCTGGCCACCAACCTGTATGTCTGTCACTCTGTTATCCTCTTACTTGCCTTCTGCTTCTCACCTGCAGGCCTTTGCACATTCAGCTCCACCTGCAGGAACACCCTTCACTGCCTGTCTTCTTTTTGTCATCTTACAAGATTCTATCCTCCAGGAAACCTTCCCTGCCCGTCCTCTCCCCCAGGATGACATATAGAGGTTGATCTAAGAGACTCTGAGACCTGTGTTGACATCTCAACTCCACATACCCTGGATCAGATACACCAGAATTCTCAGCCCGGCCATTCCTTCCTCCCAGAGATGATGTGAGGCTGAGATGAGACAGTGAGCAGGTGGTGTGGGACGACTGGCGACGGGTGACGTGGTGAGAGGAGTTCGCCAAGGGCTCCAGGCACCTGCCTGTGGAGGGTCTCCCATCTCGTCTGCTTAGCCAGATGTTGTCTAGAGGCTCCTAGAACAGGTGCTTGCCTCCTGCTGTGGGTTGCTCAGCCCCATGGAGGTGGTCCCAAGGCCATACTCAGCCATGAGGCGGAGGTAGCAAAAAGTGGCCCGAGGAGGGGCGGGGGAAGAAGTGAATCTGACAGGCCTGGTTGGTCTCAATGAACAGGTAGTCTGGGGACTGGAAAAGGCTGGGCCCGTGTGACCTCCTGCTTTTTTCCTGTTGGTGGAAATTGTAGACTCCCATGGCTCTGCCAGCAGCCCCAAGCTTCCCTTGCTTCTTGGGTCTGACTCAGCAGGCCTGGGAAGGAGTAGGTTAAGGCCTTCCCTTTGGCCTTCCCAGGACCTCCTGGGCTGGGGTCCTTCCTGTGAGCCTCGGTTTCTTAGGCCTCCTAGGAGTCTGTGCTGTTATTGGCCCAGGGCTGGTTGGCTGCTTCTTTCCCAATTGTCTGTAGACGGCTGACTTGACAAATTTCTCTCCTTGGGGAAATGCTGGTAGCAGGTGAAGCCAGAGAGAGGGAGCCCAGCAGAGTGAGGTCCCAGCGGGTGATGGAGCAGGTGCCTCTCAAGAGGCGTAACCAGATGGATGCTCTCATGGCCAAGGTTAGCAGTCATGCCCAGGCCCACGGCATTCCAGCTGTGCGTTAGGGCCCCAGTCCTGCACAGCCCTGATGACATCTATACCAAAATACCTACATATCCAGCCC